AATCAGTATAATCAAACACAGCTGGACTCAAATGAAGGTGTAGAACCATCTCAGGGATGATCAGATGAAATGGACAGAGCCTAAGTTAAATATATGAGTGTCACAGCAAAGGGTCTGAATACTTATGACCATGTGATATTTCAGTTTTTCTTTTTTAATAAATCTGCAAAAATGTCAAATTCTGTGTTTTTCTGTCAATATGGGGTGCTGTGTGTACATTAATGAGGAAAAAAATGAACTTAAATGATTTTAGCATATGGCTGCAATATAACAAAGAGTGGAAAATTTAAGGGGGTCTGAATACTTTCTGTACCCACTGTATTTTTGCTGAACAGCATATTATGACTTCTGCTCTATTTACAGACGCAATCAAAACTACACCCACATCCTGCGATTTCTGAATCTGGGAGATAAGAAGCTCAATCCATTTGACATTACACATCGATTCACACACCTCTTCTGGCTCGGTGATTTGAATTACCGTGTTGAATTCCCATCTACAGTAAGTTTGCTGTATAGAAATTAAACCCTCACACACAAGTATAACGTAACATTCTATAAGTTCCTGGAACCAAATTAATTGCTCATATAATATTTTAATTGAGATTTGGTTGTTTATACACCATCCTGATGATGTAGGTGCACAAATATATCATTAATACCTTTTTTAAATGTAACTTTTTAGAAAATTCAGTTTGTTATGACATTTACTGCTGAGATTAAGCCAGCAGTGGTGCAGTTCAGTGACTGGTGTACAGGAGGTCATGCTGCTTCTCAAGTGTCTGAACTCTTACTGTGCTGCTCACACTTTAGGCAGGAAAAGTCATTACTATGCACTGTTTCCCTTCACAGGAAGCTGAGAATATTGTGACAAAGATCAAACTGCAGCAGTACCAGGAACTTCTCAGTAAAGACCAGCTCAGCATGGAACGGAATGATAGAAAGGTCTTCTTGCATTTTGGTGAGCCACGACTGCACTCTGAACACTCTTTAGCAAAACTGTCCAGTGCAGACATGTTGCACAGCAGGTTAGCTTATACTGTACGTGACTTACATTCATTGAACCAGCTCTTTTCTGTATATTATCTACATTTGTCGAGTGTCAGCAAACATCCTATTAAAATCATTGCCTTGTTAACCTGTTTTTATTTGATTGTAGATGAGGAGGAAATCACATTTGCACCCACATATCGCTTTGAAAGAGACACACGAGAAAAGTATGCCTACACAAAAGCCAAAGCCACAGGGGTAAGCTTATGTTTAGTCATGTCAGTCTGGAAGACACCACTCATTTAGTCAAGATTTTCCTTTCATTTTTCATCTGTCTGCTTGTTGTGGCTCAGAGAAAATGTATGATACAACTGATCTGCAGGCACCAGGATCAATTTAACAAGTTTCCCTCTAAGACACAAAGAGCCTCAGGAATTTAAATAGCTTAAATTGATCCATTGCAGCAAGGAGGTTTGGGTACGCTTCTACCAGGAATTACATGACTTCTCCATCTCCTCACATGCTGGACTTTTCATAAACTGCAGTCTTTAAAATAAATGACAGAAATCAGGGGTCAGCAGACATCTCTGGTTCAGCTCCCCAGCAGTGTAACTGCTTTGTAAAGCTTCCACTAAACTACAGCCATGTCTAAATGTTAAGTACTCTATGTATTTCTGACCAATGTAACTTTGCAGACAAAATACAACTTACCCTCATGGTGCGATCGTGTCCTGAGGAAGTCCTACCCTCTTGTTCATGTCGTCTGTCAAGCATATGGTGAGTTATTCATACATGAAGAGTTTTTGGTAGCGCACCTGTAATTTCTGAATAATTAGCTTTTAATGTTCTACGGTTCTAGAAAGAGCTATATAATGTGGTTTAATTAAAGGGACAAGAGAGATCCTTTTCAAATGTAACACTTTCATCTCATTAGTCTCAGTTAATTGTCTTTTAGCCGGTGCATGTCAGCTGACTATACATCTATTAGCTTATTGCAGATATGTTGGTACAGTATTAGTGTATGTATTAGCCAGTAATTATCTATTTGGTTACCAGAGAAAACCAAAACCATATAATCACATATCAGTATATACTTTCCCATGCATGCAATTCTACAAATATTGAAAATAATACTTAATAATATGAAGATATTCATATTTTATTATAGTATGAATAAAAATGTAATAAAATGTCTATTTACCAGGGATAAAGTGGAGGCTTTCTTTCAGGGAAATAGTCCTTACATAAAATATTCCTTAGTACCAAGTTACATAGCTTGTTTACATTAACTTAGCTCATTTAAATAAACTTTTCTGCTTACAGGGTGCACTAATGACATCATGACAAGTGACCACTCACCAGTTTTTGCCTCGTTTGAAGTTGGAGTAGCCTCACAGTTTGTCTCCAAGCAAGGTACAGTACGATGACCCGCCTCTCAACACATTAGCTCGTGGTTTCTGCTCCGAAGTTGCAGTATGATGTTGTCATATGTTTCAGATCCAAATAGTGCACCTCAAGGTGGGATACAGATCATGAACTGTGTGGCCACTTTGTTGACAAAATCAAACACCAAGTTCTTCATCGAATATCATTCCAGTTGCTTGGAGAGTATGTTTCACCTTTTTGATTGACCACATCTCACTGGATTCTGCTTTAAATGGGCTAAGCAAATCTTTCTTCATAATCTCTACAGAAACTGTCAAGACGTCAGAGGGAGAAAACACCGACCACTCAGATGGGTCAATAAAAGTTCGGTTTGGAAACCAAGTTATGGTAAGACGCAACTGCAGTTGAACTGTTGTGGCATCAGGCTATCATCACTGATCGACTATTCTGTCTTCTCAAGCTCACCCCCATTATCTCGGACCCCGAGTACCTTTTGGACCAGCACATCCTCATCTGTGTGAAGTCAACAGATTCTGACGAGTCTTACGGTAATGAACTTACTGCAGTTTGTAGGACACTGAGAGGAGTGGTGCTTACAGTTTACTGATGTGTTATTTCCAAAGGTGAGGGCTGTGTTGCACTGCGAGCTGCCCAGTTTTGCTATACAGAGTTTCAGGTCACCCTGACTCACAACGGAGAGAAGGCGGGCGTGTTGACAGGTGGCATCCAGTTACACACATCTGAGGGCAAGCCCACGGAGAAGTTGTATGGTGAGTCTTGAAACCAGCTTAGGATGTAGCTACAACTATAAATGCTTTCAGTTCCTGTAGCACCAATTCCTGTTTGACTCTGCTTTCAGATTTCATCAAAATTGAGAAGGATGACCCTGTCACCTCCAAATGCAAAGGCAGTGAGCTCAACAAGTGAGACTTTTATTTTTTTAACTTGTGTTACCTCAATATATCTCAGATATGATTCCCTGATATTTTCTGTCTTTGTGTTGGCAGGCTGTCTCTCACCCAAGCACATGATATTTCCAACCCCAATTACATGGGAATGTCCTTCAAAACTGGAAATGTGGTAGATAAAGGCTGGAGTTACAGTATGCCACCAAAAAATGTATCTACTGCCGGGCAAGGGGGTAAAGACTCCAAGAAGGGTGGCTATGATGTGGGCACGCGCAGTCCCACAGGAAAAACCTGTCTCCCGTAAGCAACCGCTTCTGGTGCAATGTGACTTGAGTTTCAGTTTCACTTCGACCCTCAGTCCTCAAGAAAACATCTCTCTAAAAAGATGTAGTAATGTAAAACCAGTAGCTGACCCGATTCAGCAGAAAGTGAAAGTGAACCGTTACTAACATGCGCTTTTGTCTCGCAGGGGTGAGGAGGAAAAAGCATCAGAGATGTTTGACAACCCTTTGTATGGTTCAATGGTAAAATCCCATGGTTGGTCCAAGGACCAAGACCTTCAGCACAAGGACCACCTCATACCCCCAGACCCAGTGTTTGCACCTTCCAAAGCAGCAGACGGCGACTCTGATCGCCCCCCAGTTCCCACCCCACGTAACCGATCTTTTACCTGCTCAGAGACCAAGCCTCAGCATTCCACCCCCATCACCTCCTATCCCTCAGCATACAAGAAACCGGTGATGCCCTCGCGCTCAGAAGGTGGGATGGCACACAGCCGGCCTCCTGTACCTGCTAAGAACCGACCAGCCATGCCAGAGCCGCAGATCACTAAATCCAGAGACTACAGAGACAGCGCCGATCTCCCCAGCAAACTCAGAATGCCAACAAAACCTGGCCAGTTGCAGTCTCAGAGGCAGTAAGAAAAACTCTTCATTTGTCTTAAATTTTAAGACAAGTATAATACATATGATGATGCCAACTCTTTGTCTTTATTTAGCGCATCCTGAAGTTCCCAAGATGGGCTGCTCTGTGAAGTGAGACCAGGCTGCAGCACTGAATGTAGCCTGCAGCTTCCCGCCTTGCATTTTTGGAAACATAAAGTACACAGAGCAAAGGCTTCAGCCAATTACTCCATGTGCCGTATCCCTGATGGGTGACTAGTCATTTGTTGCCATTTTGGGAAATATTTCAATTTTCTTTATTGTATTAGAGAAAGAATTAGGTAAAATGATTTGAATCCAGTCTCAAAACTGTCCTTTTAATACATAGCTACAGCTACAGCTAGCTCTCATTTATCCTAGCATAAAGGCTGAGAAGCAGGGGGAAATGGCTAGCCTGGCTTTGTCCAAAGGTTAAAAAAATCCTCCTACTATATATATTTAACACATTAATCACCTTTGGAAAGTGCTAGGCCAGCTGTCTTCTGCCTGCAGGTTTTAATGATAAGGTAAACTAGCCATCTGAGACTGCAGATAAAACAGAAAAATAGGTCTACTTCCCAGACTGTCAGCCTGTTCTTTCAAAGTGATATAAACATTAGAGACCCTTGTCAGACTTAATTTCTGCTAAGCTTGCATTACAAAATAGTTTTATATTGAACTTGTCTTATTTTACATAGTTTCATAATATACAGTAGCTAATCAATGTTTACTTTACAGTATTATCTTTCACAAACATTGACGATGTATAATGAAGATGTATAATAAATGCTGCAATAAATTAAAATGATAAAGCTAAATGAGACATTGTTATTTCAGTTTTCAGAACTAGTTTTAAATACTTAAGTGTGGTATTGTAACATTGCTATAATTTGCTCCCATCTGCTTGTGGTAGTACGTCTGGTGTTGATGATGTATCACACTATGTAATATTGCTGCGACGAACCAGAACTCCATGCAGAATGCAAATTCATTCATTCATTCATTCATCTTCTATACTGCTCAGTCCCAAACAAGGTCGCAATCGGGCGAAGGCAGGGTACACCCTGGACAGGCCGCCAGTCCATCCAGAATGCAAATATCATGTGCTATTCAAGTTAGTAAAAATACTGAAATATTTAAATATGATAAAAGTGTAATGAGACAAGTTACCTTTCATTATATATATTTTTTCAGATACCCTAGCCTTCATTGCATATTACTGTCTCTTATAACTCTTCAAGCATATAAAAATTGCTCACTTTACAACTGGCTTTGTCCTCAGCTATAGGCTGTATGTAGTATGTAACTGTCGACAGTGGGTCACGATACAGTATGTAACTGTCGACAGTGGGTCACGAGTAGACATTGTCTCATTTTAACAGATCACAGTCCACAGAGATTGGTAACCACTGATAAGCTATAGCAAATCCTAAAAGCTCTTTCGTGTCTCTCTAGTGTCTTTTTTTCCTTTTTGGACAAGCCCAGCAGGTTTTAATATGCACCATAAACATATCGCACAGGGTTAACAGGCACAAAGCTAAATATTAACTCCACAGACTCTCTGTTACATATTTTACCTTATAGTTATGGTATAACGCTTTAAGGACACACCATTCACGACTGTCAACCGTAAACGCACCTCTGACTCCCCCGTGCGGGCCTGGTCAGTAACTGCACCGTGGTTCGTCGCAGCAATATTACGTGGTATGATACATCATCAACGCCAGACGTACTACCACTAGAAACTAACAGCAATAATGGTATGTAAAGGGCAGGTTTGAATGTGTGAATTTGTTTTCTTGTTTATATCACTTTCCAAAGTTGCACTGAGGCGTGGAGTTACTCAGAGATCACTGTATCGCTGTAGCGTGGTTTAAGGCGAGTTTATCAGCAGCTTGTATCACGCTCGGCATTTAGCCCGAGCTGCTAACATTAACGGTAGCATGTCTGTGTTTCCAGCTTTTCTACTCGTTTTTCAAGTCGCTGGTGGGGAAGGACGTGGTGGTGGAGCTCAAAAACGACTTGAGGTTAGTTTTTGTCAATTTATTCCCGTAATTAGCTCACAATATTTTTTGTAGTTTCCATTATTTACATATTTACAACATCGGTGCTAGCTGTTTGCAGCAGTGGAGGAGGATCTGGATGATGGTAGCTAGCGAGGCTCAAAAACTCAATGCCCAGCGTATGTTAGGCGGTTAAATGCAACATAACACAGTCCATTAATGACTAGCTTTCTGTCCCGTACCAATTCGCGCATTTAGTGCAGTGGTGGTGTTCTGTATTGTAATAAATTGCAAGTAATCTAGTTATTTTGTATGTAGTGTTAGGTATTTTTAGTCAGATAGATATTGGATAGATACTTTATGTATTAGAAATGTTTAGTGGAGATAGGATGTCTAGTTAGACTGTTAAATGCTTAGTCATGCTCATGAGTTTCTACAGGGTACATCTGGTCAAGGATAACTAGAGAGAAGAGTTGATGACTGTCAGCAGACAGGGTGTTTAATATTATTATTATGACGTATATAACTGTAGCCTTAGCCATAATATGTTCTTATGTTTAAGTCACGACATGTTACTAGAAGTCTGTGAGAATGTTTTTAGCTACACACCACTTAATCAACAGACACACACACATTGATTTCCTTCATGTTTTGACTACTGCTATGACCAGCTGCAAAGCTGGTAACAGAGACGTCTCGGTTGACGTTTCTGTGTAGTATGGGGCTAGCCCAACTGAAGGGATATAATGTATAGGCCTGGTGGGTTCAGGGTCTTTCATCTTACATCTGCCTGCATGCAGTTTGGAGGTGCAAGATACCTGAGCGTGTAATGTTAATTTTACCTGTGATCCTTTGAATAAATCAGCACTGTTTTGAAGTTACTTGGACTGTCTCGTCTCGTGAGTTAGCAATGGTAACAAGAGCCATAGTCCTGCAGTAGAGAACAGCGGTTAATTGATCTCTAAGTACTGATGTAAACATGTGATGTCCATTAATGCTTGTAATAATTTGTATCCTTAAATTCTGTTTCAGCATTTGTGGAACACTGCATTCTGTTGACCAGGTAGGATATAATGATTTATTTAACTTACTTTGGCACAAAAGCCATTACATTTTCTGTCTAACTGCCCAGTTCGGACTCTTTTGACATTGCTCTTCTGCATGTGTGTTTCAGTATCTGAACATTAAGCTCACAGACATCAGTGTCACGGATCCAGAGAAATATCCACACATGGTAGGTCCAGCTGTCCGGCACCTCTCACTCAGTGTTTTTTCTTTTTGTGACATGTCTGTCTAAACCTGGACGTTATGTTTGGGCTCCTGAAGACTCTAGAGGACACTTCTCATTGTTTTATTACTCCTACGTTTCCTAAATTTATGAGAGTTGATTTATACACATTTATGAACTGATGACATTTCACAAGTCTGCTACAAAAAATGTTTGAGATCTCAAGAGACCCCAGCTGTAAAACACAATTAAGTATAATAGATTGTCCCAATTCCCAAGTAAGTGTGTACACATGCACACACTTCAAAACGTATTGTGAGTTCCTACACAGGCCCATAGTAGCACAGAAAAGAGAGACTTGCATCTGCCATCATATAACATGACATGAAAAACATGAAGTATTTCCAAGGCTGGTATAATAATACTTTGTGGTCATTTCCATATTTGCACCTTCATCAAATGTGCAGGTCAGGTTTTTGGTTACTACTTTAACACTATATATTTTGGATTTAATGAGGTCAGATGAAAGAGAAGTACTGATTTTGTGAATATTATAATCTAAAAAATGAGACAGTACAGCAGACACTCCTGAAACTTGTACTCTATTTCTAATAGGAGACTTTGAAAAGAGATCGCAAAAATACTTCATTACCAGCTGTATTTCTTAAAGCTCATTTACACCATTTCCAGCCCTTTGAATGGTGGTTGTCTTCAAACTCCATTCTGTCTTGTGTTAATTTGTTCCAGCTGTCTGTGAAAAATTGTTTCATCCGTGGATCCGTGGTCCGGTACGTTCAGCTACCCGCAGACGAAGTGGACACGCAGCTACTGCAAGACGCTGCACGGAAAGAAGCAATGCAGCAGAAGCAGTGATTTACCTGTAGGGTGGGGATGGGGGGGGACTTTTGTGAGTTGTTAAAAGGTAGTTCAAGTTTTGAGTTAAGCTCATTTAAGGATGATGAGTACAGCTTGTGCAGCTCTTAATTAAGCAGTATTGGTCAGTAGATTCTACTCTTTCACAGAAAATTTAATTGTGTTCTACTATTAGTGATCAATAATTATAAAAATGTAATTATTGGAAACATTCTTTAAGTCACAGACTGTAAAGGAGGCGTTGGCTGATACTGTCTTTTGTTTAAAAGAAGTGGAACTACAACTTGTTAATTTTTGACTTTTTATGCAGCTTCAAAATAAAAAGATATTTTAGTTTTGTTCAAGTTGTTCTCTGCTTGAGCAAAGATTTATGTTTGGGTGTTTAACGTTAACAGGACTTGAATAGGTTTTATGGCTATGATTACAGAAGATGTTATTTTGTAAATGACTGCATTTATGGGAAATAAAGATTGAAATCCCATGGCCTTATTGTGCTAGTTATCCAAGTTTGATTACAGACATGAATATGAGAGATTGCAGTGAAGACATAACTATAAAGTGCCTGGCTTCTGAATGTGTGAAGTAAGGTGTAGTGATTCTTCTTAATAGATGTCAGCGATGGAACCAATGGGTTGTTGGTATACACGTACTGTTCAGCCAGGTTGCAAATATTTCTCCTCACATTTTTCAGTAAATTGTCATTTTTAAATACCGTTACATTTCTTCATGTGAAAATTATGATTCTCCAGTCGGTAAGGGTTGAATGTGCCTGCAGGTCAAACAGAATTTGCACTTTAACTTAAGACTTCTATGTTGTTTGGAAAGTTATGTCCTCTTTCTTTTTAGTTTTAAATATATTTCCAGGAAAATGGCACAACTGCTGACAATTAAACAGCCCACTCTGCTGTTAATACATACAAAATCAATACCTTTATTTTACATTCATACATCTATAACATTGTACAATAATTTTAATGCAGTTAAAAAAAGCCCAATCCAAAAACAAGTCCTGGAGATTTACAGTGATGAATTTGCATGTTGTATGGTTGGTGATGTGCATTTAAAAAATACACACGCGCACCCACAGGGATCTAGGAAAAGTGGTGTCCCTTAAAAGAGCTGAGCTGAATGGAGAATGGGGTTGGGTTAGCATTGTCGCTGGCCAACTGGGGCCTTTCCATGTGGAGCTTTCATGTTCTCCCTGTGCCTGTGTGGGTTTCCTCTGGGTGCTCCAGCTTCCTCCCTCAATCCAAAGACAAGCAGCCTAGGTTGACTGGAAACTATAAATATCCTGTAGGTGGTAATGGTTGTTCATCTTTATGTGTCAGCCCCCTGACAGAGTGGCGTTAATAGTGTACCCCACCTGTCGCCCAGTGTCAGCTGGGCTAGGCTCCAGCGCCCCTGCCACTCTCAAGGAAAACATAGCTATAGCTAATAGATGGAGGGGAATTCAGTCACCACAGAGAAAGGCACATTGAATACACAGTGTATGTACAAACAAAAACCTTAACACTTAACACTAACCCAACTTTACTGTAGGTAAAGAACAATGACCAAACCTGTAAACCTTCACTTATGAAAAACAAATTAACAAAAACAAGTCACATCTGTACAAATACATTTGAAGCAAAATAGTTTCTTGGTCATAACAAAGCAGTACCTTGAAATGCTTTTCAACACTTGATTGGCTCTGCCAGCAGAGAGCAATCCCACAGATACACAATATTTATGCAGTTGCCCACTTCATGTATGCTGACAGTTGGCAACAGTGGGACAGTACCTCATGCATATCCTCATCAGATCTGATATGTGACAGACTAAATCCAACTGCAATGTCACTCTGGCCCCCCCCCCCGCTCATAATATGGTGCAACGTGTACGTACAACTACATAAAAATGTAGATAACTATATACAGCCGCAAATCCTGTTACCTTAAAATATATGTACCACCGTCAATTAAAATGTTCGATACTTCCAGAAAAGTAAGTTCTCTGATACAAAATACTGTAGTTTGAAAAAACAGACTGTTTACATTCCATCCTTCTGAGCAAAATAAAGTTTTATATACGTACCTTCAAAGCTTAGAAACACTTCCAACATATATATATATATATTCATATCTATATAGAAACAATAAAGTGACTAAGATGCCATATGTGGCTCTACGTTCACATGTAGTGGAAACCCGTTTAGAATGGCGTAGACAGCCGATTTATTTGTTTAATGAACACAGTGTGGCACTACAATTTTGGATGATTGTACAAGTTGGGGTCTTTAAATGCCAAGGTCAGGATTGCCTCCATTAAATCTGTTCCTTTCTTCCAGCTCAGCATGCCTTTGTCAAGTCAGTAGGCATGTCAGCCGTGGACATACGGTACTGGATCTTTGTGTTAGTGATGGCGCCATGCTTCTGTCGAAGATGCAACCGTAGTTGACTCTTGTGACGGAAGTGCAAATTGCATTTCTCACACTGCAAAAGGAAATAGTAATTGAAATAATAATATATATGTAATTGTATGAAATTTCACTATCTTGTATCTTCAGTCTGATTCCAGACAATGTAATATTGTATTATTTTGAAACTTTTTAAGAAGTAACATGTCAACCTACATGGTAGGGCTTTTCTCCTGTGTGTATACGCAGATGGCTCTTCAGCGTCTGCAGGTGGCGGAATCGTGTTCCGCAGATCTCACACGGATATGGCTTCTCACCCGTGTGGATCAAGACATGGGCACGGAGATGAGCGACCTGAAATGTAAACAACAAACAGACAGAAAGAAAACATTGTAATCAAAATCAGCTTTACTCTGACTGTTGTCGAAGATGTGTTTGAAAATTCTTCTACACTGACACACTTTCATAAAACCCATGTTGGTATCCAAAGTATAAAGCCAAAACACCCTTAAGGATGTTCACTGTGTCAGTGGGTCCTTCTGTAAAGCTGAAAATACCTATACCCACCCATACTTATACCTCAGAGTTCAGGTCACAGACAATAGAGAGGGAAAATGTTTGTACAAGACCATATTCAGATTTTGATGTAAGGGGTGTTATTACCTGTACAAAACGAGCTCCACACGTCTCACATTTGTATGGCTTCTCCCCTGAGTGGATGCGAGTGTGAGTCTTGAGGTTAGCTGGTCTGTTAAACTGAGCACCACAGATATTACAGCGATACGGCTTCTCTCCTGAAAATAAGAAATTAAAGAACACACTTTAGAATTCAGCAACAAAGCAGCACAGACCTGGAAGCCAAAAATGACTGTTAGATCAAAACATCTACTTAAATGGAGCAGTTTCCTTTGTTTACCTGTGTGAACGGTCTTGTGGCTGGCGAGGTTGCCCTTGTAGCGGAAAGCAGCCTGGCAGCGGTCACACTTGTAGGGCTTGTCGCTGTGTACTTGAAGCATGTGTTGTTTCAGTGCTTCCTCTTCAGCAAACTTGGAGTCACATTCATTACAGAAGAATGTACCGTTTTCTGTGCAGGAAAAATGATGAAAGTTACCTTCTAGTCCTAAACAATGCATAGTTTGTCACTGTCATGTAATATCCTTTGTGAACTCACCACAACTGGAATCTGAGTACTCCGAGTGCAGCTCTGCCATGTCTTCTGCTAGACGGGACCTGGAGGCATTGGGACACACTTCTGAGTGCTGTGGGGACTGGGAGCCACAGGACGAGCCGTTCAGACGGCTCAGGTAGTGTGGAGGGTGGCTGTCACTGTTCCTCAGTGACCCCTCCAGTGCACTATAGATAAAAACCACTTAGTCAGAGGTTCACATATACTTCAAGTTAGATCTCCAAAAATGAAATAAGTTGAAATCTGACATAGACTCCACATTAGACAATATTTCAAACTGAGCATCATTACAAAATGAAGTTCCTAAAATCTTTCTGGTGAATGTCCAAATCCAGAGGAGTAAATTTAATTCATCCCTGGTCTGTTTTAAGGAACAAGACATGAATAATAACAATATGTCATCTTTCTGAGACGAACTGGATTATTGAAAATGCGTATTTAAAAAAAAAAAAAGGACATAAAACACTGCCCATAAAATCCTCTGCTCATGTTATCTTCTTATGTTACCTCAAATTCCACCCAGTGCGTCAAACTAATAGATTCGTATATCAAAATATGCGGCCCCATAGTTGGAGCAAACCCTCACCTGTTGATGATGTTGTTGAGACGACTAGTCTGTGGCACAGGTAAATCCTCATTGCGATTGTTGCTCTTGCTTGTGGTTTGTGGGTCGAGATTCTCAGAGTCGCTGGGGTGAAGGTAGGGTTGCAGGCCAAGGCGCTGAGGTGAACGCAGCCCAGGATTCCTCAGCCCTACCTCATCCTCCTTAGTGCTCTGATTCAGCACAATGAACTTGTACTTCTTCCAGTTGCGAGCTTTGGGGTCCTGTGTACCTTGCAGGGCTTGCGCTCCAGTGGCTTGGGAGAGGCCGGCGTTCTTGCTACTGCTGGATTCTGTTGGGGAGTTTGGCTGGCAGTCTGATTTGAGGGGGCTCTGCGGGCTGCTCATGAGGCTCTTGCGCCCAGTGGAAATTCCTAGTGGGTAGTGCTGATGGATCAGGTCTTCCTCTGCCTGAGGAGCATGCTCTTTGCACGAGTCTTTCTGGTGCTCGAGGGTAAACGTAGGAAAGGTACGCTTCCCTGTGCTGAGACCACTAGACTGGCTGACCCCCTCGTGGCTTTCCTTCCTCATCTCACTGTCCCTCCCTACCTCCCTGGAAGCGTAGGTGGTGGAGTGAATAATGCTGGAGGAGCTGGTGCCGACAACCCTGGTGTATTCTGCCCTCATGGTGTTGTCATGTGGAGAACAATGCTTGTGGTGGATGCCACTCTTTGAGAGGTCAGCAAAAGCGTTTTTGGCATCAGTCAGCTTACAGAGAGGGAAGGGGAATCCTGGCATAGGAAACTGCCCATAGAGATGGTAGTTGCTGGGGGTGCTGACCCCGTTGAACAAGTTTGAGCCGTAGGGCCTCCCATCCCTAAATGGAGCTATGCGGCTGTGCAAACTGTCAACAACATCGTGGGGCCGGTAAGCATGGACGTCCTGAGTTAAAACCAAGGGACTGACCAAAAACTCATCTCTGGGCAGCTTGGCAGTTGGATCACTGTGAAAAGAACAAAGGTAAAAACCATGCAGACGATTGTGATGGATTTCTACTGGTTTACAAAGGAGCATTCTTCTACCAACCTGGATTTGATGAATCTGTGGCAGGTGTCCACAACATGGTCCATCTGCAAGTAGATGGCTGTATTCATGATAGCCATGATCAGACTTTCCTTTAGTGTGAGACGAGAGGTGTACATAAACTCCAGCAGGATGGCAAAGCCCTCTGGGTCCACCTTTGGGTCCAGACTGATAGCATTAAGGTTGCACTTGTGGGAGTCAGTAAAAATGGTGTAAAACAGCCCACTGCAGACATGAAAAAGAAATACAGACAGAGCACACAGCGATCAGTCAATTCTTTCTCAAA